TGGCGGGCGAAGAAAGGGCTCTGGGAGGGGAGAGGAGATGGGGACAATGTAAACTTAGCAAGCACCTGCGAGAGGAGCGATGGGGGGGTTGGGGGAGAGGCCGGGAGACCTGGAAGTGAAGGCAAAGGAACGGGAGGGGGAGAGGAAGGCGCCCTTGTGGTAAGGAAGGCGCCCCTGTGCGCCACTCCGCTTCGGGTCCGAGTGGAGCACAGGTTTCCTAGGCCCCAGGGAAAGACTGAGATGAGCGTCTTGCCCTCTAAGAATGAGGCCAACTAAGAAAAATGTTCTCACCACAGGGGAACGTTTCATTTTGTTAAGGAACCTTTTCAAATCTATAGCTTTTAAAACTGCAACAACCTATTTGTTCTAGGACTAAACACAACTGTCAACTGTGGTTAAATAATAAACTCCTTTTGCCGTTTCTTTAATATATATATAAACATCCGCCTTTTTGCTATGTACAATTTGTTGAGAAAGTACCAAGAGCAAACCCCAGGGGGAAAGGTCTCATATTACAGGTTCTCCTAATTGTTTAAGCGCCCCTGACAACAGAGCTATTTGGTTTTCCCATCCGTGTTTACACTGTCATCTTGGTCTCTGTGAGTGGATTTTTATCTGGCTTCTTGGACACCACTTACTAGTAAACTAGAGCTAAGAAAGATTTTTAAAGCATGGCTGGGAGGCCGAGGCCCCTGGTTGAGTATGAAAGCACACACACACCACTTACATTTCCCTCTTCCCTGGTGGAGAAAAATCTCTTAAATGATACGGCATGAAAACAATTTTTTTTTAATTATTAGTGATTTTCCCCAGCTCTGCAGACAGGTTAGTGAGCAAACTTCAGCCAGCTTGGAAGCTGGGCAACTTTCCATGCACAGTTACACAATATCACCTCCCCGTTTGCCTGGGTCCCAGTGCCCTCCAAAGAGGCGCAAGAACCTGTCTTTATTTTTCTTTTTCTGTTGTCTCAACGGCTGGTTTTCCGCATTTCTCTCCTCTTGCATCGAAGAGCTTGGTCTGCCCCCTCGCAGCTCTTTCAACACTTCATTTAAAGTGATTTGTCTTGCCCAATTGACAATCTCCTTTAAAATCAGCTTTCACCCAGCAATAATAGCTGGTTATAGTTCATGTTTTTGCAGAGAGGTTGATTCTGACTCATTATGTCCAACGTTGTCGCATACACAGCTGAATAAAGTTCTGGTAGATATCCAATTCCTGACTGTCAACTGTTGACCTCACAACTGCTTCCCCATTGATATCACCATCTGTTGTCATGGGAAAGATTGTCTGATATTTGGGTTAAATGCCACTGAAGTCATTCAATTTCCATGTGGAAAAATAACCCAAAGTAAATTGCCCCGTGAGGTGCGGAAGCTGTTTTTCCCAGAGATAGTGAATCGAGCAGAAGAACATCCAAATCAAAGCAAAACAAAAACCTCTCCCCGCAGAGAATCCCTTATTTCATTATTTCATTCCCTCCGTAACTTATTTTCGTCTCATGCACGAAAGTGTGTGTGTGTGTGTGTGTGTGTGTGTGTGTGTTAAAGACTCAGGTATCCCGCGGGCCATTCGCTGGGGCTTGCAGCGAGAGGGGAGAAACGTCCGATTTGGGCTCCCCTTCGCCCTCAGCCGCGGCGGGCGCACCCAGCGCCCCGGACCGCCCGCGGCACCCGGGCCCCCGCGCAGGGCGGACCCCGCGCTCCTCCCGGCGCCCGCCGCCCGCCGCGTCCTGCGAGCCCGGCCCGCACGGCGCCCGAAAGGCACGCCGCGACCCCTTTTGACACTTTCCCTCCTCTGTGATGGAGCAACTACTTAACATGCAAAGTTTTCTCCAGCCTGCCCGGCTCGCTCGAGATCATTTCAGTAGCTGAACTGGCTTCTTTCCGAAAAGGCTGCCAGGACACACAAAATCTTGGGGACACAGCTGGCTCCTTTCGAACACGAACACGGACCCGAGTCCCCTCTCCTGCACGCTCTGACCCCTTTCTCGTCCCGCCCTTCAGCGCGCCCTCTCCCCCGTCCTCCACCCCCCACCCCAGCCCTGCTCCTCTCCCAGGACTCAGCATTTCACCGATCTTACCTTTTCTCTCCGCCACTGGGGCTTCGGGAGATGATCCAACGATCAAACAGAGGAGCCAGAAAGCTCTAGCTGTCATTTTCGTAGACACGGTTCCCAGGCTCTAAAACTGAGCCTGGGCTTTTGCTCTTTCTCTCCCCCCACCCCTTCTCCACACCCCCACCCCCGTTCATGCTAATGAGGGGCAGCCTTTGGGGAAACGGGAATCACTCACTGAACAGACCATTGGAACAAAACCGAGCTGCAGGGAGTTCTCCCACTTCCTAAGGGGGACAAGCACATGGCCTCTCAAAGTTGTCCCTGCGAATGTCTGTGGGCAGTGACAACATCAAATCCTAAACTTGAAACCCGTGTGGGTTTGCGCACTGGGGAAGGGGGGAGGGGAGGGTGGGGCAAGTGGAGAGAATAAGGATGTTGAGGGGCTGAGGGACAGGGTGGGGGAGAAGGAGTGATAGGAAGTTTTTTCCAGATTAAGTCAACAACAAATAGGCAGATTAGTGCTGAAGACCATTTGGGCTTGTGGAAGGGATTCAAGATGACAGGAAAAATTCATCAGGGAATGTATCAGGGGTTCTGAGAGAAACCAAGCCTAGGTTTGGTTAAACTATTTTACTATGTATGCCATTTTTATATTCTAGAACCAGAAGGAAAAACAGCCTTGAGCAAAATACTCTCTCTTCTCCCTTCTCCTTTCCTGTCTTTCTTTTTTCTTTTATTTTTTCTTTCCTCTCTCTCAATTGAAATTAGTATCTCGTTGGCTAGATTCATCAAGCCCATGCTGAGTGCCTTTTACCCAACCAGGTGCTAGGAGATAAAAATGAGAAAAACACCTCCCCAGCTCTCTCGTGATGGCTCCTCTCCTAGAGAAAGGTAGATCTTTTGTTGTTTCTCTCTCTCTCTCTCTCCCTCTCTCTTTCTTTCTAAGAAAAATAAACTCATTCGCTGCTTAGGTCTGAATTCTTGAAACGACTCTGTATATGAGTCCTGAGCTAAGGACCCTCTTCCTCAGATTGATCAGAAATAGCATTCACCAAGGGTGGGAGTGTGGGGTGTGGATAAGCTCACGGTAGTAAACCCACAGCCTTACCAATGTGTGTCTCATTTCAACAGCTTCAAACCCAAAAGGAAGGGGAAATGCACTGAGGTGAAGGCATTTTATCTGAAGCATATGAGCCAACAAGTGCGATGCAGCTGCTGAAAGAAATAACAAACTTTTGCTGCATCAATATCTTCTGTCTCAAAAATAATAATGCTAGTGAACTGACCAGATTCAGGGGGGATCATGTTTTCAAGAAAGACACTGGAAAGCTTGGAGAACAATAGGGGAGTGAGAAGACTTGGCTCCATCACCAAGTTCCTTCACAGGAACTGAGGCTAAACAGCCTAGGCGCACAAAAACATTTGTGATATTTTGTGAAAGAACCAGTAGGCAGGAGTTATAAGATGACATGTTTAATTCCAATTTAAGAAAAGGTATTCTAACAACCAAGATCTCCAAGAAAGCAGGCTGGTGACAATGGAGCCATAGTGGGTATCCAAAGAGAATGTCATTCACTGTAGAGCAGGGGCGCCCGGCTGGCTCAGTCAGAAGAGCACACCACTCTTGATCTCCAGGTGTGAGTTCGATCCCCATGTGGGGTGAAGAGATTACTAAAAATAAACTTTAAAAAAAAGTACTGTAGAACAGTTTCCTGAATTAGGTGTCCTGTGGTTTAAGGGATTCAGTGAGGTAAATATGTTCATCGAGAGAGGAGCTGGCTGACTAGTCACAGGCTGATGATATGTTGGAGGGGATCACTGTCCTCTGTAGTTTGATCCTCAACTTTCTTTAGCTTGAAACTCATGTCAATTCATCAGATTTGTGGTACTGACTCATATTAAACAAACTCATAAGAAGAAGATGTATAAACCAGACCATCATTCATTAATTTGCAATGGAGAGGATATGGTAAAGATGATTCAGCAATCTCAGTATTAACCAGAAGTTTGTTTGTTGAGCACTAAATTGAATTGCAGCTCATGGTGGGCTAATCTTCCTCATTCGGGTTTTAGAGGAGTGAGTTCTCTATTTCCTCCAGAAGAGTAAAATCTCTCCAGTCACTGCAAAGCCTGTGTACGCAAGAGTCAGGTCTCCAGCCTCTGGAGGCTTGTGTTCTTGAGGCCCAGTTTACAGATATCCTTAGACCCTCTTCTTTCACATGCTCTTTCTTTAAGTCAAGTGGAATAAAATTAATTAGGCTTAAGCTTTCTCGTTTACAACCACATCTCAGACATACCTGCTTGCTTGAGATTATATTCAAGTCACCCAGATCCAATTTGGGGTGTTCCCGAAACTCTTCTGTTGCAGGAATGTTGTGAATGCCCCAAAGCCCACACCCTGAAATGTAGAGGCAGAGAGCCGGCTGGATGGCTCCCATAGGCTCTTAGAGGCTTCCAGGGTGGCACCAGCCTGGAAGAACTTGCCAGAGTCCAGGGTTGGGTCTTGGGCAGCATCTGGCTCAGAAACTACACTGATGGTGGAAGGCACAAAGAGCTCAAGGAGACTGATCCACGTAAGCCAGAATGCCACTTTATTAATTTACAACGAGAAATCGACTCCGGCAGAAGTGCATACTCATATCAGCTTGGCTAGCGTTGTCTTTCTATAAACAAGCCACATGGGAAGTCAAATTATCATCAGGGTGCTTGGTAATATAAACCAGAGCAGGGGGAGTTTGTCAGAGGATTGGAATGTTTAACGGTATTGGTTTTTTGTAGCCTAATGTGTCTGTCTTCATAATAGGTATATACACTTGTCAGGTGGAAGAATCTAGGAGCCTAACCGCCTTTCTCTCCCCTGCCAATTTCTGGTATTTTTAGTCTATCTTTCCGCTTAGCAAATATTTATTGAGTGTCTACTATGTGTTGTATAATAAAGAATTTGTGCCAGGTTCCTGGCATGGAGCTTCTAAAACCCTTGGAATTTCCTAGATGATAGAAGTGTCGTAGTGACTCGTGAGCTTCCTGGATCACACCTGAGTTTTTGCTAGTGCGGTGACTCTTGGAGGGCTCCTTGATGGCTTCAGGATGGGAGCTGGTCACCAGAGAGACCAACCATGCGATTAGAGGGGCAGAACTTTGAGCCTGCCTGACCTCCAGGGAGGGGAGAGAGGCTGTAGATTGGGTTCAGTTGGATGGTCAATGATTTAATCCATCCGGCCTACATAATGAAACCCCAATGAGGGGCGCCTGGGTGGCTCAGATGGTTAAGTGTCTGCCTTCGGCTCAGGTCATGGTCCCAGGGTCCTGGGATCAAGCCCCTCATCGAGCTCCCTGCTTGGTGGGGAGCCTGCTTTTCCCTCTCCTTCTACTGTTCCCCCTGCATGTGCTCTCTCACTCTCTCTGTAAAATAAATAAATAAAATCTTAAAAAAAAAAAAAAAGAAACCCCAATGAAAACTCCGTGGAGCTTCCTGGTTGGTGATGTGCTAGGAGGGCGATGCTCCCTAATCCATGGAAAGAGAACACTGAAGCTATGCATTTGGGACCCTTCCGGATCTCATCCTATGTGTCTCTCCGTGTAGCCGGTCCTGATTTGACTCCTGTATGATACAATTGCGATCCTAAGTATTGTGCTTTCTTGAGTTCTGTGCGTTGTTACAGAAAATGATCTCACCTGAGGGGGATCATGAGAACCCCAGGTCTGCAGCCAGGTGGTCCGAAATAGGAGCGGTCCTGCTGTGGAGCATGCCCTTTAAATAGTGGGGTCTGCACTAACTCTGGGTGGTTAGTGCCAGAATTGAACTCTAGTCCGCAAGTGGGTATCAAAATACTATGTTCCAGACACTGTTTTAGAAGCCAGACATCTCAGTCATAATCATTCTTTAATAAGAGTACAATAGTTGCTTTGGTTTCCATTAGGTAAATCACGGTCACGTTCCAGTTCTTCGATTTCAGGACCATCTTGATGGCGACCAGGCTCTCCCCAAATTCTTCAGACTTTCAAAGACAACCCCTAGGCTTACTCCCACAGGGATCGGGCTCGATCCTGGGATGTAAGGACATAAATCCTCCCCTCACATGGCTCACTGCGGAAAACAACATTCAGTGGGAGAAGATGCTGGAGAGCCTCCACGCCCTACAGACAAACTCTCCCACAAACAACGGTGAGTCCAGGAGAGGTTGTGAGTAGCTGGTTGTTGTTGTTGTTGTTTTAACTCTTTGTTGTATTTTCCTATCACTCTACATTATTGTAACAGAACATTTGGAAAATAAGAGAGTAGACACAGGAACTACAGAATGTAGGCCTCGCTTCGCTACCCCTGCGCCCCACCATCCTTACAACACCTCCATATATTTCTTCCCAGGCTCCTTCTTGGTTATCATTCTTCCACGGGTGTGGGCAGAGTGTCTACACTATTTTGGATCCTGTGTTGTTCACATGACACCATGACAGAAAGGCTTCCCCATTTTATGTTTTGTGCATACAATTTTTGTATCCAGCTCTTATTCAATTAAAACTGTTCAGGGCACCTGGGTGGCTCAGTTGGTTAAGCGACTGCCTTCGGCTCAGGTCATGATCCTGGAGTCCTGGAATCAAGTCCCGCATCGGGCTCCCTGCTCAGCGGGGAGTCTGCTTCTCCCTCTCCCCCCTCTTGTGCTCGCTCTCTCTCTCATTCTCTCTCTCAAATAAATAAATAAATAAAAACTGTTCAAAATACTATTAAAAACTCTTTGCAAATGTGAGATCTCATAACTGCCTAATACATTGTCATTTGGACAAACCATAATGTGTGAACATTTCAGGCTGTTCACAGTTGTAAACCTTTCTGTGTCCCCATCATTAGAGGAATGGATATATTGTGACATACTGGAACAAAATAGAGCAGGGGTTTGGATCTTTTGGTTTTTAAAGATTTTATTTTTACATAATCTCTACACCCACCATGGGGCTTGAACTTACAACCCGAAGATCAAGAGTTGCATGCTCTACCCACTGAGCCAGCCAGACACCCCTAGAGCAGGGTTTCTTCACCTCAGCACTATTAACATGGAGGCCAAGATAATTCTTTGCTGTGCTCTGCAGGTCGTTGACCAGTCTCCCTGGCCTTACCCACTGGGTACCAGTGCCCTCCACTTCTAGTTATGACAATCTATGCTGTCTCCCGACAATGCCGAATGTCTCCTGGAGACAAAATTGTGAACCACACTTGTTGCCATAAACCAAAGAAAATAAATGAGCTGCAAACAAAAGCAAAATATGGATCAATCTCATAAACATGATCTCAAGTAAAAAAAGTCCGACACAAAATACTATATACTATGTAATTTCATTTCTATAGGTTCATAAATAGACAAAACTAATTCAAGGTGCAAAAAGTCAGGGTGTTCTTGGGAGTAGGTACTGGAAAGGGTATGGCAGGGGTGGGGTGGTGGTTTCTGAGGTGCTGAAGTGTTCTAATGATTGACGTAATGATTTTTGATATCTTACATAAGAAATGTTACTAGTTTATATAGTCAAATCTGTTGGCTGTTTTTTTCTGATATCTTCCATCCCTTTATAAAATCCTTTAAAATGTGTATAAGTAACACATATTCTTTGCAGAATAGATAATAAGAAAAAAGAAAAAATCAACAACAATCCTATTATCTAGAAATAACTACTATGGATATTTCGGTATATCAGTTTCCAGACTTTTTTCTACACATATATGTGCATGTAAATATGTTACATAGTTTCTTTATATAAAAGTGGGATCATGGTATATAGATACTTTTAACATGGTTTTTATTAAAATATTAATGAGGGGCACCTGGGTGGTTCAGTCAGTTAAGCCGGCTCAGGTCTTGATTCCAGATTCCTGTGGCCAGCTCCCTGCTCAGTGGCGGGCCTCCTTCTCCCTCTCCCTGCTTGTGCACTTTCGCTTTCTCTCTCAAATAAATAAATAAAATCTTTTAAAAAATGTTAATGAGATGTCAACATCTTTCTATTTCATTGAGTATGGGATTCCATCATTTGGAATATTTCTTTTTAAGATTTTTTATTTTTAAGTAATCTCTACACCCAGTCTGAGGTTTGAACTCACGATCCCAAGATCAAGAGTCCCATGCTCTTCTGACTGAGCCGGCCAGGTGCCCCATGGTCATTTTTAATGACTGAATTCCTAGGCATTGTATTGCTGGGTCAAATATATGATAATTTCAATGTTTTTGCTACATATTGCTGTTTTGTCCCCCAAATATGTTGTATCAGTTCACACTGACCAGCAATCAATGTAGGTATGTAATAATGCCTATTTCTCCACATTGGGATATCAGATCATCATTATTTGATATCCTTGCTGTTCCGAAAAGTTTTTTTTTTTTTTTTTTAAAGGGTTTCTGGAATGCCTGGCTGTCTCAGTCAGAGGAGCATGCAACTCAATCTCCGGGGTTGTGAATTTGAGTCCCACACTGGGTGTAGAGATTACTTAAAAATAAAATATTTTTAAAAAATAAAGAAAGAGTTTCTCTTTGTTGTAATTTGCATTTCTTTAATTGCTGGTGATATTGTAGATTTTCTCATGGATTTATTTGCCATTGGATTTCTTCTTTGGCCAAATGCCTGTTCTTAGTCTTTGTGTATTTATTAGGATGTTCATTTTCTTTTATGATTTTGAGAGTTATTTCTAGCCTAAGAATTTTAACTCTTTGTCCATTATATATATTGCAGATATTTCCTCACAAAATTGTGTTGATTTTTAACCTGTTAGTGATTTATTGGCCATCAAATTTTTAAATTTTGTACAGTAAAATCCATCAGTCTTTTGTTTAACAATGTCCCCAGTGTTTTGTGTCATGCTTAGACGTTCTCCAACTCAAAATTATATATATATATCAGCCTCTGTTTTTCTAGTGCTTGTTGTTAAATCTTGGTTCCATCTGGAATTTATTTGGATATGTAGTATGAGGTAAGAATCTAATTTATTTTTTCTAAAATAACTAGAAAGTTGTCTAACCCAATTGACAAATAAATCCATCCTTTCCTAAATTTGAGATGTCATCTTTAACATAGAGAGTATTAACTTCTAATAAATTTAGGTCTATTTCTAGATTTTCTCTTACTCCCTCTGTCTACTCCCATGCTTATATGCCCATATTTGGACATTGTTATAATTATAGTGATATTATAACACATTTTTCTTTTCAAAAATTGTCTATCACAGTGTTTTGTTTTCCCAAGTGAACTCTGCTAAATTTTAAAAATTCTGTTGGATTTTTTGAATTTGTATTAAATGGATAGATTCATTTGTAAAGGAATTGACAGCTGTCCAATATTGTCTTTCTGTCCATGAAAATAGCATATCTCTATATTTCTTTGAGTCTTCTTTCCTCCATTAGGATATTATCATTTTCTTCATCTAAGCTCTAAACACATCTTCATGTTAAATTTATTTCCTGGATATTTTATATTTTTGATGTAATGTAGCAAAGTTCTTTTTGCCTTTTATATTTTCTAACTGCTTTTGGTAGATGTATAGAAAAGCTACTAATTTGTATATCCATACATTTTGTATAATCCAATTTGTGTATACCCAAAAATATTCCAAACTATTTTCTTTTTTTAAAGAAATCTCTACACCCAACATGGGGCTTGAACTCATGACCCTGAGAACAAGAACCATGTGCTCTTCCAACTGAGCCAGCCAAGCACCCCCCAAACCATTTTCAACTGATTCCTTTGGGTTTTCCCAAAGGAAACCGTGTAATCTAAAAAATATTTTGCCTCCTCTTCTCAAACCTTTAACTTTTTTATTGCATTGATGAGAACTTTCCAAACCTTGTTGAATAATATCAATCATAGTCATCATCTTTGTTTTATTGATATTTCCTCATGTATAGAGACTACCTCGTGTTTCACTTTAAAAAAAAAAGATTTTATTTATTTATTTGAGAGAGAGAGAGAGAGCGCACACACAAAAGAGCAGGGGGGAGAGAAGCTGACTCCCTGCTGAGCAGGGAGGGGCTGGACCCCAGGACGCTGGGATGATGACCTGAGCCAAAGGCAGATGCTTAACCGATGGAGCCACCCAGGCACCCCACAATTTATTTTTTTAATACAATTTTTTTATCTAAGCTCTATGCCTGATGTGGGGCCCGAACTCGTGACCCTGAGATCAAGAGTAGCATGCTCTACCAACTGAGCCAGCCAGGCACCCCAAGAAGCTGAGAGATTTGCTCAAGAGAGCTTGTTACTCAGTGGCAGTATTTGGGATCAAACTCAAGTTCTTTTTAAAAATAAGTATTGGGGCATGAATTCAAGCCCCATATTGAGCAGAGAGCCAGATGTGGGGCTCGATCCAAGGACCTGGGGATCAGGACCTGAGCTCAAGGCGGACACTTAACCGACTGAGTCACCCAGGCACCCGAAATGTTTCACTTTCAAGTGACTAAACACTTGATTTTGCTTCAAGTGCATTAAGCACTGTCACTTCCTTAATATTGATCTTCTTTGTAAGCTCTATGCCCAATGTGGGGCTGGAGCTCACAACTCCAAGATCGAAGAGTCACATGCTCTACTGACTGAGCCAGCCAGATGCCCCTAAATAGTGATCTTCTGATAATGTCTTCTATATATTTTATCTTCTCCATCATCATTTTAATCTCTTTATCTTTTTCCTTTTCTTTAAAAAAAATTTTTTTTAGTTTTATAGTTTTATTTTTCTAAAGTAATCTCTGTACCCAACGCAGTGCTCGAACCCATAACTCCACGATCAAGAGTTGCACGCTCCTCTGACTGAGCCAGCCAAGTGCTCCTTTTTCTTTTTCATTCTAGGAGACTTTCTTGACTCTGTACATCATGTCACTGATTTCATGTTCAGTACTATCTACTCTGCCTTTGGCACCTTCCAAGAGGATTTTAAAGCTAAGGATTTCTTATTAGTTGGCTTCTTTTTGGGTTCATCCTATTGTTCTTTCATCTCAGTCTACTCCGTTCTTATAATTTCCTAATTACAAGGACCATATCTTCTTTTTTTTTTAAGATTTTATTTATTTATTAGAGTGAGAGAGAGACACAGCGAGAGAGGGAACACAAGCAGGAGGAGTGGGAGAGGGAGAAGCAGGCTTCCTGCTCAGGACCCTGGGATCATGACCTGAGCCGAAGGCAGATGCTCAACAATTGAGCCACCTAGGCGCCCCAGGACCATATCTTCTTGTATTTATCTGAGAATGCCTAACTGTGTCTTGAAATTCTCTTCAGGATTCTTTGTCATCATTATTTGAGGTGTGCTCTTCCTCTGAACATTTTTAAGGGAAGATATTTTTATTATGAAATATTACAAGCATTTAGAAAGTTATTGAGAATAATATAGTGAATACTTGCATAAGCATGACCCAGTTTTGTCAAATCTTAACATTTTTTCTATATTTGCATCATATTTTCTTAGTATTAAAAATTACTCTCATGGGGCGCCTGAGTGTCTCAGTCGGTTAAGTGTCTGCCTTCGGCTCAGGTCATGATCTCACGGTCCTGGGATAGAGCCCTGCATCGGGCTCCCTGCTTGGCAGGAAGCCTGCTTCTCCCTCTCCTACTCTCCCTGCTTGTGTTCCCTCTGTCACTGTGTCTCTCTCTGTCTGCTTCAAAAAATAAATAAAATCTTGAAAAAAAAATTACTCTCCTTTTCCATTATTCCAAAAATTTTACTGTGTAAAACAGGGTCTAATTAAAAAAGAAACTACTGGGGCGCCTGGGTGGCTCAGTCAGCTAAGCGTCTGCCTTTGGTTCAGGTCATGATCCCAGGGTTCTGGGATTGAGCCCCGCATCGGGCTCCCTGCTCAGGGGGACTTCTGCTTCTCCCTCTCCCTCTGCCTGCCACTCCCCCTGCTTGTGCTCTCTCTCTGTGTCAAATAAATAAATAAATCTTAAAAAAAAAAACAAAAAACAAAAACTACTGGTTAGTCAATATAATTGAGGTATAATTTCAGAGTAAACATTTAATTTTTAAAAATTATACATATAGTTGGTAGTAGTCAGTCTCCAAGATGGCTGGCCCCCAATGACCCCCCACTTCCTGGTATTCACACCCTGTGTGGTCCCCTCTCACATTGTAGCAGGACTGGTCTGAGTCCCCAATAGCATATGGAAGAAGTGATAATATACACTTCCAAGATTAGGTTACAAAGAGCCTGAACTCTTATCTCGGGTATGCATTCTCTCTTTCTTTTAGATCATTTACTCTGAGGCAAGCCAGCTGCTAAGTTGGGAGGACACTCAGGCAGTCTATGAGAGGCTCATGTGAAAGAACTGACAGCTTCAGCCAACAGCCAAGAAGTGGGCTTGAAAGCAGACCCTTCCCACTTGAGTCTTCAGATGAGACTGCAGCCCCAACCCACAGCTTGACTGAAACCTTGGAGAAACCTGAGTAGAATCACCCTGCTAAAGCACTCTCAGATTCCTGGGCCACAGAAAGTGTGATTAATAATGTTTATTATTTTAAGCTGCCAAATTTGGCGGTAATTTACCTTGCAGCAATAGACAACTACTACACAGCTGAAGCCCCTTATGTCCTCCCTAATCCAATTTTCTTTCCTTCCTAGAGGTAATCATTATGCCGAACTTGGGGTTTCTACCATTCTCTTGGATGTTTTCTCCTATTATGACTAGAGCAACTACTGTTGTTAAAAAAAAAAAAAAAGTCTTACGAATTAATTTTGAA